ACCTCACAGAAACATACCAGGGAGAACTTACTTTTTTTGTATTTTGGTTGAATAAAAAAAACCAGAACTAGGGTTATTACCAGTAGTCCCAGTAACACTCCTGGGAGCAGCTGTGACAGCAGACACGAAGGGCAGCTATCTTCTTCTGTAAGAAAACAGGGTTCATAGGTCACCACTGGCTACAACATGGACCCGGTAAGAGCTCTAGGAAAGGCCATCATGGCTGATGAGAGTTCCCTTGTTGGGCCATGACGTTCTTAAAGCCCTCATTCCTCCCGCCCCCATGGCACCACAGAGCAGCACAGCACTTCGTGGCTGGATCTGTCACAGTGTAGCCTTTCCCTAAAAGGACAGGCACAGGGTGTTTAGGGGCAGCTCTTAGTTAGGGCTTGCAGGATTTGTGTCCCCCAAATAGCTCCCATGTGTGAAGTGTTACATGCTAGACACTGTGTTAAGCACTAATTATTCATGGGGAGATGGCTGGGTTGCTGAAGTGCTCACTCCAAAACCACAAGGACCTGAGTTTGGTCTCCAGCACACACAATCAAAACACCAGACATGCACCTGTAACTACAGCACTGGGCAGTGGAAATGGAGGCTCTCTAGAGCTCCCTGGGCAGCCTGTCTAACCAAATCAGTGAGCTCCAGTTCAGTGACAGACCCTGCCTCAAAACATAGTGGACAGCATCGAGGAAGACATGCCGCATAGACCTCTGGCCTCATAAGTATCTGTACACACGTACACATTCACCACACACACACACCACACTCACACCACACACACACACACACACACACATCACCACCACCACGACATACACCATAAACACACACACATGCACATACACACCATACACACATACTTAATGCAAAACAATGTAATCTCAGCACTCAACAGGCTGAGAGGCAGGAGGGGTATCAGAAGGGCATGGACAGCCAGGCTACAAACCTAGTCAGGGGAAAAGCAAAAGAAAAAGAAATTATCAGAATTGCAAGGACAGCCAGGCTACAAACCTAGTCAGGGGAAAAGCAAAAGAAAAAGAAAAAGAAAAAGAAAAAGAAAAAGAAAAAGAAAAAGAAAAAGCTAGGTGAGAATATATTTGTAATCAGGAGGCTGAAGTGGAATCATGAGTTTACTGGGCTACACAGGGATTCCCTGTGGCCAAACTGAAACCAAATGAATTTTAAAATACAATGAAAAGGGGGAGAAATACTAAAGACCCAACATCTCCAAGAAAATGCAAAGTGTAATATGGCTGCAACTGTGACTGCATGGGCTACTTGGACCTCGGAACTGGAAGGCATGGCTAGGAACACTAGGAATAGGAATAGGATGGGGTCGAGTCTTAACCATCACACCCATTTCCGTGCTTGATGGGGGAAGCAGTTTTGTCTAGTGTGTGATGCTCCCACAGGACTCTACATTTGGAAGCAAGAAGGAGGTGAACCAGGGCAGAAGCAGCTGCAGTTTCTAGAAGTAAGTGCAGAGTCTGTTGAAGGAACTCAGGGAAAGAACGCACCATCAAGGTGAACTAGCCTGAGAGGCAAGATGCAGGTTGGTCTGGGGCTGGCAGGATAAAGCACTGTAACTGTAGCCCCATGACCTGAGTTGGAGCCCTGAAACCCACATGGTGGAAAACAGAACAGACTTGTCAAAGTTGGCCTCTGACATCCACTTAGGGCCACATGGGCATGGGTGCATACACACATGATAAACTGAATAAAATCAGTTTAGACCCATTTCCATCTGATTGACACGGCAGTTGCCAGGTCTAGAAGGATGGAAGTGTGTACTCAAACAGTATCCAACCATACCGAGTACTAAGGTACACAGATCAATCCCTTACTCCAGCTCACTGGCCTCAAGGCCAATGGCCTGCGGAGGAGCCACACACACAGCTGGGGGGCAGACAAATAGTTAATCTGACTGTGTGCAGTGTGGCACAAGTCAGTTGCTGAGGAATTGGAGGTAGGGCCGAGGCCACCTCTTGGCTTCAGGGAACTGATGTTCAGACTTCATGGTCTATTATTTCTTCTCTAGAACTTGCTATGTAGCTGAGGCTAGCTTTAAACTCCTGATCCTCTTGCTTCCAAGTCCCAAATGCTGGGATTACAGGTGTGTGCAACACACCTGGCTATTTGTTTATTCTTTTGTTTGTTTGTTTTTCAAGACAGGGCTTCTCTTTGTAACTCACACTTGTAGACAAGGCTGGCCTTGAACTCTGATTGACCTACCTCTGCCTCCTGAGTGCTGGGACTAAAGGCATGTGCCACCACAATCCAGCCAGTTTATTCATTAATAATGACTATAATCAAAAGTTTTATTTAGTGTATACACATTTACAGTGTGCATGTACAAGCCAAAAGTCATGGAGTTGATTCTTTCCACCATGTGGGTGCCAGAGACCACACTTAAACTGTCAGACTTGGTGGCTAAGGTAGAGGGCTGGCTTTGTTTTAAACCGGAAGTATCATTTTTCATTAACTGTGTTTCTATTTATAGAATTCAGTTGTACAAGTACTTTTACTTCCTCCAAAAAGCAGAAGCGGCCCTGATAAATTGATTCAAGGGTAACAAAAAAACAGGAACTACAGGGCTCTCTGGTTGATATCAAATCTGACTTTTTTCCTACAGTTTTTTTTTTTAAATAGATTTTTTTTTAAATTTTTTTATTAGGAAGAAAATTATTTTACGTGTCAATCCCAGGTCTCTCTCCCTCCCCTCCTCCCCTACCCTAAATAGATTTCTTTAGATTATTTATTTGTGTATTTTTGCTTTATGAAACCGGGTTTCCCTATGTAGTCTTGGCTGTTCTGGGACTTCATATGCGTCACCCTTGGCTACCTACATAAGTGAGTGTGTAAGGCCAGCATAGTCTGCTTCCAAAGAAAGAAGGAAATGGCCAAGGTCACAGAGCTGACAAAGAGCAAACTAGCTGCTGAGCCATCCCCCATCCCCCCCCCATCTCCCACTACTCTAGGCTCCTCCAAACTTGAGCCCTGTGTCTGAAGCTCAGACACTTCTCTGACCTTCAGCCACTTTTGAACCAGCCCAGTTCCCACCCGAGCAGGAGCTCTGAGCCCACAGAGGACTTCCACCAGAAGTCCAAGTCTCCACACATAGCTAGCTTCTTCTTCTCATTCTTTCAGCCCTGTGGACGGGCCCTCCTACCCTCACGTAGCAGGCCCTTCTCCAGGCCTTACCTTTCTCCACACTGCCTGTTTCCTTTAAACAGCCGGCACAGCTTGTGAGCCATTTGTCTGGGTTTTGTGTCTTCCCTCTAGACCAGAGGTTCCATGAGGGCAGGGACCAATCAATATAAATCAGGATGTGATGCATCCAGGTTCTCCGTAGGGAATCCCTGACTAGGGAACCTGTGCTTGAGGTTCTTGGGACACGAGCATGTCTTAGGTCTCACTGGTGTCCTGGAAGCACCATAGATTGCAACAAACAACAGCCTGCACCAAGTGGGCAGTCCATAGAGACATATCTGTGAGACTTCACTGAAGATGACAGTGTTTAATAATCCATCAAACAGTTTGCTGGGACAGACTTCGGGAAGGCCCTGTGCAGAGAACGCACGTTTGGCAGCCTTACCATGTAGGGTAGAGGGTTCTGTTAGGCCACTGTGTACCACATTCCTTCTCTATATCTGTGTCAGTTTTTCCTCCTCCCACTCAATCCTATGATGGCCACAATTGCCGTTAGTTTATGTTCAGACTACTGCCTCCCCCTGGAGCCCCTGGAGCCCGTAGCATGAAACCCCTGTTAAAAAAAAAAACCCATAGGTTTAGCAGTGCCAGCCAATAGTGGCGTCAACATGATCAGATCTGGAATCCCCTAGGGCTTAATTTCTGGACAAGTCATGAGGGATTTTATAGACGAGGTTAAATGAGATGGACAGATCCACCCTAAGTGTGGGTGGTACCATCCCATGGGAAAAGTCCCAGATTGTATGAGGAAGAGAAAGCAGCCTGGTGGCAGGCACACGCCTTTTACCCCAGCACTTGGGAGGCAGAGGCAAGTAGATGGGTCTCTGTGAGTGTAAGGCCAACTTGGTCTACATAATGAATTCAGGCTAGCCAAGGCTACATAACGAGACTGTCTTAAAAAAAAAGTAATAGTAACTAAATTTTCAAAATCAGAGAAAGAAAACTGAGCATGCTTGTATACAAACACAAACACACACACACACACACACACACACACACACACACACACTTCCTATATGTGAATGAAATGTGACCCACTACCTCTCACCTATTGCTGTAACTGTCTCTGTCATGATGACTGTGTCACTGGGAACTTTGAACCCAAACAAGCCCTTCTTTAACGTGTTTTTGCCAGGTGTTTTGTCATGGTAACAAAACAAGTGACTGGGGAAAGTACGCCCTGCAGAGTTAGATTAGATTAGGACATTTGTACCCTGAAATTTAGAGCCATTGATCTGCATTTCCATCTAACAAAACTTTCTGTAATGGTGGACACATTCTATCTTGTCCAATATGGCAGCCACCAGTACCTGTGACACTTGAATACTAGAAATGTAACAAGACTGTGACACTGAGGTTTTTTACTTTATTTATTCTATGACAGTGTCTCACCATGTAACCCTGGCTAGCCTGGAACTCACTCTGGAGACCAGGCTGGCCTTGAAATCACAGAGATCTGCCTGCCTCTGCCTCCTGAGTGCTGGGATTAAAGGTGTGCCCAGCACTGTGGTATTGAATTTTTAAAAATGTATTTATTAATTGTGTGTATGTGTGTGTGTGTGTGTGTGTGTGTGTGTGTGTGTGTGCAGATTTGTGTGAACACTCCCATGCATGTTCAGGCAAACATGCATTGGTGCCCATGCCACAGCATGTGTATGGAGGCAGAGAACAAGCGTGTGGAATCAGCTCTCTCCTTCCACCTTTATGTGAATTCCGGGGATCAAACTCAGACTTGCACAGCAAGCACCTTTACCCCCACTGAGCCACCTCGCCTGCCCTAGAATTTTTTACTGTCGTTTTGATTTAATTTAATTTTAAGTTTGAATTTAATTTTGTGTGGCTCATGGCCTCCCACACCGATAGACCTGGAGAAACCAGTGGTTTCTTACAAGGTTTGACGAGACTGCAGACAGAATGCTTAGACTTCTTCTCTCACTCTCCTAGGGACTCATTATCAAGGTCACCACAGATGAGGCTGCTGCTGGTGCCGGGCTAAGGGAAGCATGGCATGGGGAGGGGACAGAGAGAAAAACAGAACACATAGATGTGGCTGGGCGGGAAGGGTGCTAGCTCCTGGGGCTTCAAGCTTCAAGGGAAGGAGATTGGTGAGCTGGCTAATCCTGGTTAGATGAGGGAGGGACTAGGAGATCAGTGAAGTACTTCCACAGAGGATTAGCTAAGTGGGGAGGACCCTCTCCAATGTGGGAGCACCAGCCTTTAGACTGAGGGCCCAGCTAGAATAAGAAAAAAAAAGAGAGCCTGTAGCAAGTGCTGTAAACTGATGAGCCATGTCTCCCTGTCCCTTTCCACATTCTTGAATGTCTTCAACCTCCAAGAGTCCTTCATGGCCAGAGAGAGTCCCTTGGGTCCCCCTCCCCCTCCCCCACACCCTAACCTACACTGTATGGCAGAGGCACTTACCGGAGACTGTGAAGTTGAGTTCCTGACTATATTTCTGCCAGGTAGAAACATTGGTTTTGCACTTGTAGGGGCCTGTTTCATTGGCGCTGGAGATCTTCAGGTAAAAAGTCACAGCTCCTGCCCTTGTTTTCTTGGTTTGTAGGTGTTTTGTACCCAAAAATAGTGAATAGGTGATGTCCATTGATGTGTTCTTGCTGGAACAAGACAGAGATACATTTTGGCCTGTCCTGACCGCATTCACACTTGAGTTCAAATTTGGAGGAGGTAATTCTGGAAAACAAAATGACATAGCAGTCTTCATTAAAACCACTCTACGGGCCTAGAGCCGTAGCTCTGGGTGATGGAGTGCTTGCCTAGCATGCACAAAGCCCCGAGTTCCATCCCGGGCGCAGCACAAACGAGGCATGCAATTCCATCTTGTGGAGGAGGGAAGCAAGAAGAACAGGACCATCCTTAGCTATACAGGGAGTTCAAAGGCAGGCTGGGCTCCAGGAGACCAGTGTGATGATTAATAGCGACAAGTTGACGGGCTCTAGGATCACCTAGGAGACGGCCTCTGGGATGTCTGTGAGGAAGTTTCTAGATTGTGTTACCTGAGGTGGGAAGAGCCACTCTGAATGTGGCTGATCAATCAAAGGTCTGGGTTCTCAGACTGAATAAAAAGAAGCCCAGGACAGCGAGCTGAATGTCTGTCTCTCTCTGCTTACTGACTATGGGTGCTCTGTGACCAGCTGCCTCAGGCCCCCCGCCATCATAATTTCCCAGCCATCTCGGGCAGTTTATCCCCTTGAACTGTGAGCTCAGGTTGACCCTTCTTCCCTTTGGTTGTCTGTCTTGATATTTAGTTACCGTAGTGAAAGAAGTAACAAACACCCCCCTTTCTCAAGACAGAAACAAATACCTTAGGACAATTTGTTTCCCCACTCAACCCCAATCTTTTCTTTGTAGCATGAATTCTACTTGATTTTTCTTTTATTATTTTTTAAAGATTTATTTATTACGTTCACAACATTCTACTTGCATGTATGCATGCCTGCAGGCCAGCAGAGGGCATCCTATCTCATTACGGATGATTGTGAGCCACCATGTGGATGCTGGGAATTGAACTCAGGACCTTTGGAAGGGCAGGCAGTGCTCTTAACTACTGAGCCATCTCTCCGGCCTTCTAACTTGATCTTAATAATTAAAACCACCGAGCCAGGCATTGGTGGTGCATGCCTTTAATTCCAGCACTCGGGAGGCAGAGGCAGGAGGATCTCTGTGAGTTCGAGACCAGCCTGGTCTACAAGAGCTAGTTCCAGGACAGCCTCCAAAGCCACAGAGAAAACCTGTCTCGAAAAGCAAAAACAAACAAATAAAAATATTAAAACCCCCATGTCAGATATTGGGGTTAATGCTGAAGATCAGAGAAGCAAAGCAGCCAGCCACTAGAGAGTTCTCACCTCTACCAATGCTCAGACCAAAGGGGCCATCCTGTCCTCAGACTGCCTCCTCAGACAGATTGCAATAAGCTTCTGTCTCCTCCCATCTTATATTCCTCTCTCCACACAGCCATATCACTCCTGTCTCTATCTCTCTAGTGCTAGGATTAAAGGCATGGGATCCAAGTGCTGGGATCACCTTTGTGTGAGATCTGTTTCTCTTCTAGACAGATTCAATCTCCTGTAGCCCAGGTTGGCCCTGAACTAATAGAGATCCCTCTGCTTATGTCTCCTGAGTGCTGGGATTAAAGGTGTGTACCACAACTGCCTGGCCTCTGTGGATAACTAGTGTGGCTAGCTTTGCACTCTGATCTTCAGGCAAGCTTGATTTGTTAGATCATAAACAATGTATCACGTTTCTTTGTTCTTCAGGTGTGCCAGAGGCCACCCAGTTTGCACACTGTGTTCCATATTGTAGTCCTATTTGCCTTTCCCCAGATAAAAAAAGACTCTTTATGGCACGCCTGTTTCTTTGCTTTTGTTTGGCTTTGATAAGGGCTTTCACTTCCCATTTGTATTGCGTTTGGGTAAGAACTGCCAAAATTTCTTATTGTGGACTACTTTCCCGTAAACCAGAGACAGACCTGAATCTTTGACACTTTTCCCACAAATCCAGTTCCCATGACAAGTACTTTTTTGCTCTATTGCCAGGATGCCCCCACGCTCCACAGGGTCTGTCTTTTCCCTGTTGTAATCACTGCTGTAAATTCAGCATTTTGGGGGTGGAGGCAGAGGATAGAGAATCCGAGGTCAGTCAGTCTCTGCTACAGAGTGAGTTCTAGGCCAGCCTCTGCCTTCAGTAAAGTCTCTTAGAATTCCTTGAACTCTGTCTGCTGTGGCTTTGGTGGACAGACTGTAACCTGTACACACTCACACACACACACACACACACACACACACACACACACACACACACACACAATTGAGACAGAGTTTCTTTGTGTAACCCTGGCTGTCCTGGAACTTGCTATGTAGACCAGGCTGGCCTCAAACTCAGAGATCTGCCTGCCTCTGCCTCTTGAGTGCTGGGATTAAAGGCGTGCATCACCATTGCTGGCTCTCCATGTATATATTTACTGTAAGGTGTGTAATGTGTGGTCTGAACATTAATATTAAATTTAAAATTGGAATAAAAGAACGTGTGTGTGTGTGTGTGTGTGTGTGTGTGTGTGTGTGTGTGCGCGCGTGTGTTTTAACTGCCAGCTATCAAGGGAGATCAGAACTACTTGGAAAATTACAGCCAACAAAACCAACATAGCTTGTGAATTTATTGCTGTTCAATAAATCCTGACATCATAGACAGACATAAACTTATCCATCTAGGCTTCTCCACTGTATGCTCAACCACACACAGCACTTAAGAGGTTCAAGCAGGAGGAGTCCTATGAGTTCAACATAATCTATGTAGCAAGATCCCATCACAAACAATCCATAAAAACGAAAGCAAGCCAGGTAGTGCATTCCTTTAATCCTAGCACTTGAGGGGGACAGAGGCAGGCAGATCTCCGTGAGTTTGAGGCCAGCCTGATCTGCACGGCTAGTTCCAGGACAGCCAGAGCTGTTACACAGAGAAAGCCTGTCTTAAAAAATAACAGCAAAAGCAAAACAAAACAAAAACCCAAACAGTCCAGCTACTGATACTGGCTGCTTCTGGAAGTAGAGGGGGGACAGGCTGAGGCTACGCAACAGCGCTGTCAATCCTGTGTGGTTGGGATACACTGAAGCAGTGCAGAGGAACAAGCACTGTGGTGTTCCCGCCTCACAGACCAAAAGGAATCAAACTCAGAAGTGATCAGTTTGTGTGCCCAGGCTGCGCTCCCCCTCCTGTGCGTGGTACTAGTTGTTTGAGCTTAGGATGTGTTCCAGTGGAGATGGCGGTACACACCTGTAATCCCGGCTCTTGGGAGGAAGACACAGAAGGGCTCTAGCAGGCCTGAGCGTGGAGGACATGGCACCAACAGCTGTTGCCTTTTGCCCTCCTCCCCCGTTCCCTCCACCTAGCTAAACCTTTAGATTACATTCCTAAAGCTAGCACCCAGGCTTATTTGGCCACTTCCTCCTATCAAAATATTGAAGTCCACTAATCAAAAGCCTCCTTTCGGCTACCCCAATTAGCATGTCCAATCAAACACACCAAATCATCCTGACACTCATTTCCCCCTTTTCCTTTAAAACCACCTATTACCTCTGGGTGGAGTCTGCCTCCTCTCTATCCAGAGGCAGTCCTTTGACTCTCCAGGGCAGGTATCCTTCTGCCTGTTACTATTTCTTTTCTTTTCTTCCATGTTGTCTATGTCCTGTCTTTGTCTGTTAATCCCTGTCCTTTGTCCCTCTGGGGCAAGAAAAGAAATCTCCTTTGTGCTGAGAACTTGGTCTTGATGTGTCCTGAGCTGTCCTTGCCTTAAGAAGGCTCTGGAGTTTGGGTCCAGCCTTGGCCACATAATAGAGTTTGAGGTCAGCCTGAGCTACATGAGACTCAGCCTCAAGAGTAAATAAATGATAACATTTACGATGATTATGTGAGGGTTTTCTAGCAAAAAAGAAAAGATAGCAAGGGGGGCTTGAAGTTTTCTGTGGTAAAAACTGTCCCAAGACTTTGCCACTGAGTTACAAAAACCTACACTTCCTCCTCTAAACTCACAATCAAAGCCCGCTAGCCCGCTAGCCCACCGCTCTGCTGAACATCACTTTAGGAAATGAAACTTACCATTTGTTTTCCCCTTCTTACAATCCACTGCAGTGTTCTGAACTGAAAGAGAAAAAAGATAAGATTAGCAAGAGCTCATTTTCCACATGGTGTTTTGGAGAGCTGATTTTCGTTTTGTTTGTTTGTTGCCTTTGTTTTTTGAGACAGGTTCTCATTATGTAGTTCTGGCTGTCCTGGAACTCCCTCTGTAGACTAGACTGGTCTCACACTCACAGGGATCCTCCTGCCTCTGTCTCCTGAGTGCTAGGATTAAAGGTGTGCACCACCACCACTCAGGGCCTGAGAGTTAATTCTTAAAATACCGAATCAGGCTTACATGCGGTAGAAAGAAAAACAGCTCCAAGTAACAGTTTGTCCAGCCAGCGCCTTATTCCCTTGAATGAGATGAGAGAGCCTCCGTCACCCATCCTAGTAGTGGGACTGTGGAGTGGTGTGTGGCTTCTTAAGATTCCTCTTCCAGATGAAGGAAGTGAGACGGTTTAGATAACTTGGCTTGTGACTACTTGGTTTAACGGGCCTTCGAGTTACCAGAACAGACTCTCAGCAGCTGCCCTGAGACAAAGCCCTCCTTCCTCACTTGGACCTGTTTTGTGACGATATAGTTCTCACTCTCTCTCCCCCCTTGCACTGGGATGGCTAAAGTCATGTTTTAAGTTTAAATCATTGTGCTTCAGAGATCTATAAAACAAGAAAGTCTCTAACGTGTAAGCCCTGGGACAGATAATTTCCTGGAACACTGGGGGCTGTTGTTAATGGAAAATTAAAAGCACCTTGTTTTCACTTCTGAAAACAATCTTGGTTGCCCCAACTGCCCGGATGTGCTTGGTCATACCTAGGCAGGAAGTATGCCAGGAAGTATGCTTGCCCCGGATTGGATGAAAGTGGGAAGTACCTGGTTTTTGCCTTTATAAGCCTCTGACTAATGTCACATTTGACTCAAAAGTTGTGGTAGTGGGCTTATTCTTGACCCACAGTGGGATTAACAACACCCCCCACCCTGTTCCTAGCTGCCTATGAGGTGAGCCACAGGCTCCAACACGGTCTGTGCATGTGGGTGCTCTTTGGGGCCAGAGAGAGCATCTGATTTGCAGGAACTGAAGTTACAGGCAGTTGTGGGTCTCCTGATGTGGGCACTGGGAACTGAACTCGGGTCCTCTGCATAGCAGCAGGCACTCTCACTGTGACCCATAGCTCCAGCCCCAGCATGGCTTTTTTTTTTTTTTTTTTTTTTTTTTTTTTTTTTTTTTTGAGACAGGGTTTCTCTGTGTAGCTTTGGAGCCTATCCTGGCACTCGCTCTGGAGACCAGGCTGGCCTCGAACTCACAGAGATCTGCCTGCCTCTGCCTCCCGAGTGCTGGGATTAAAGGCATGTGCCACCAACGCCCGACCAGCATGGCTATTTTTAAAGATTTTTTTTTTTACAAATCCACTTTTATTTATTTACTTTTCATTAGTTTAAATCCTGGAAGGGTACAGCATCCGGGTACCACACGGATTCTGTGTCCAGTGGCTTTTGCAGGAAGGTTGCTTCGGAATTTGGCACGAACCATGCCACTGTTTCCATGGGCCCTGGTTACTTTTCCCCAGATCACTCTGGTTTTGTTTGGTTTGCCCCCGGGTGTCACTGTGTTGTTTTTTGCTTTATACACGTAAGCACATCTCTTGCCCAATAGAATTCCGTTTCATCTCGGGCATAAACACCTTCAATTTTAAGAAGAGCTGTGTGCTCTCTCTGGTGCCAGAGACCGCGCTTATAGCCAGCAAAAATGGCCTTGCACCACAGCCTTCCAGACATATTTGCCTTTTAGAAGTCCTGTTCCCAGCAGGCCTCCACTGGTGCCAAGATGGCGGAAAGACTATTTTTAAAGATTCTTATTGCAAAAAACCAAGGGGGCGGTGGCTGAGCCTGGTGGTGGTGGTGTAGGCGGTACACACCACACGTGAGGCAGAGGCACATAGATGTTTGTGAGTTTGAGGCCAGCCTGGTCTACAGAGTGAGTTCCAGGACAGCCAGAGCTGTTACACAGAGAAATCCTGTCTCGAAAAACCAAACAAACAAACAAAAAAGGGCCTCGTGGTATTCAAATTAATTAATTTAAATAAATTACAAATAACAGCCCTTCCTGGAAGGATCCACCTGTGGCCTTTACCTGTCCCTGGGTAACACATGGCCTTGTAGACAGCAGCACCTCCTTTCTTACAATTAGATAAGGTATATTTTGAGCATGGGCGATGGTAGAAACAGAAATAACTGTAAGTGGACTTTACTTTGTCCTGGCAGCTGTTCCCAAATAACTACACAGAGACTTAACATTAATTGTAAATGCTTTGCCAATTGCTTAAGCTTGTTCTTGAAGGGCACATGAGCCAGTTAAAGATGGCACCGAGGGGAAGTCAGGAGGGTGTTTACCAAAAGGAATGATTTAAAATCATTGATTGGGGCCGGGTGTTGGTGTCGCACGCCTTTAATCCCAGCACTCGGGAGGCAGAGGCAGGCGGATCTCTGGAGTTTGAGGCTAGCCTGGTCTTCAAAGAGACTTCCAGGAAAGTCTCCAAAACCTACAGAGAAACCCTGTCTCGAAAAACCAAAGGAAAAAGAAATGCTTCCTAACAGCCAATAAATGAGTTCCTGCTTGACTAGACTCCCTGTTACATCTGACGGTCTCTGGGATCCAGGGAGGCTGGGGAATGGGCGAGCAGTGCACTTACCCTTCCTCAGACCCAGTTTGGCTTCATGGAGCCAGACTAAGAGCCAACAGCCCCCAACAGTTTTTAGCCAGCTCGTATAGCTTGGGTTAACCCTTTTCTATTCATCTATGTGCCGCCCACGGCTCACCCACCTAATTTACATACTTCCCACCCAGCTCCATCTGCTTCTCATGGTGTCTCTTCCGACTCTGCCTTTCTTCTTCCCAGCGTTTCTCTGCTCAGAAAATCCTGCCTAGCCATCAGTAAGTCAACTCTTTATTAGCCAATGAGAATAATACATATTCATATCGTGTCAAAAGATTGTTCCACAGCAAACAGCACAATCAGGAAACTATCTGGTAGGCATGAGAGTCCCTTTCCACTTATTGTCTCTGCCCTCAGGAACGCATTTTGGCTTCTACCCCACAGCTTCACAAATCTTGAGCGACAGTTTATCATTAGCAGTGTCTCACAGCGGCAGCGATTACTCCTGGGCTTCGCTAGTCCTTATGGCCTCATGCTTTTCCTGCATACTGTCCTTTAATACTCTGAAGGGTTGTCACCTTCGTTTTACATTTGAAGAAATTTGCTGAGAAAGTTTTGGTTTTTTGAGCATTTTGGACGCTGAATTTTTCAGATAGGGATGCTCACCCTGTGCTGTAATGACTGTTTTCTGTCACTAAAGCAAGAAAACATGAGCTGGCTGTGGTGGCTCATGCCTGTAATCACAGAGGTCAAGAGGCAGAGGCAAGAGGCTCAAGACATCAAGACCAGCCTCAGCTATATATTGGGTTCCAGGCCAGCCTGGGTACAGCTAGGCCAGGTGGCAAAGGTCCATAATCCCAGCATTAGAAAGATGGGGCAGGAGGACAGAAGTTCAAGGCTGCTCTAGCTCCTGGCCAGCCTGGGCTACATAGCAAGATCCTGTCTCAAAACCAGACAGACAGACAACTGACAGTTCCTTAAATTTAAAAAACAAAAATGAAAAAGAGACTGTGTAGAGAGCCCTGTGAGTTTGCTTTCCATGGGGTGGTCCTCAAGTTTAGTCTACAGGGAGATGGGAGTTTGAAAGCATTACTTTTTCAATTTTTAAATTTTAATCTTTTATTACTTTGTGTGTAGGGGTATTCTGCCATGTGTGTGTCTGGTGCCTGAAGATATTGGATCCCCTGGGACTGGAGTTACAGACAGTTTTAAACTGTCATTTGGAGCCGGGTGTTGGTGGCACACACCTTTAATCCCAGCACTCGGGAGGCAGAGGCAGGCGGATCTCTGTGAGTTCAAGACCAGCCTGGTCTACAAGAGCTAGTTCCAGGACAGCCTCCAAAGCCACAGAGAAATCCTGCCTCAAAAAACCAAAAAAAAAAAAAAAAAAAAAAACCACAACAAAAAAACCCCTGTCATTTGGATGCTGGGGATCAAAAGAGCTGTCTATCCAACCTTGTTTTTTTGTTATTGTTCTTAGTTTTTGTTTGTTTGGTTGGTTTTTTTGAGACAGGGTTTCTCTGTATTGTTTAGGGGCCTGTCCTGGAACTCATTCTGTAGACCAGGCTGACCTTGAATTTACAGAGATCTGCCTGCCTCTGCCTCCCAAGTGCTGGGATTAAAGGAGTGCGCCACCAATGCCCGGCTAAATTATGTATTTGTATTTTATGTTCATATATATATATATATATATATATATATATATATATATATATCTGTAGAGGGTGATGGATCACCTGGAACAGGAGTTACAGACAGTTGTGAGCTGCCATGTGGGTTCTGGGAATTGAACCTAGGTCCTTTGGAAGAGCCATCTCTCCAGCCCCTTAGTTTTGTTTTGAGACAGGGTCTCACCACATAACTATGGCTGGCTTGGAAGCTGATATGTAGACAAGGCTGGCCTTGACCTCACAGAGAACCACCTACCTGTGTTTCCTAAGTGCTAAATGAGTTGTCACCACACCTGGTAGAATTTTAATTTTGACTTTCCCCCGGAGTGACTTCTGTCTTGTCTGGGCAGAGGGAAGTGCCGGGTCAGAGACTTTGTGGGGAAAGATGCAGTTTCTGGGCGTTTGTAACTTTGGAAACCAGCAGGAAGTTAGTTTGCTGACCACAGCAAACTTTGATGGCACACAGAGACCACAGACCATGGAAAACAGTACCCAGGGCTGTTGACAAATGTTGCTAGGTTGCTTCAGCTGATCCCAGAAAAGGACAGATGCCTGGTCAAGGGTGACATAATAAATCTGGGGTAAAGTCCCACTTTAAAGGGACGAGTTCATCCTTGGACCTCACACCTCCCTTGGAGCCCAAGTTCATGCCGAGTTCAAGGTTTCACAGTTCATGACACTGACCTTCTTGATATAATGGACAGTAATAAACATAGTCAGATGCAGAGGTCCCTTTCTGCTGAGTGATGAGCCTATACTGATGACCTCATTCAATTTTTAAGAAGTCTCTGTGGAAGTGTTATGGGAAATATTTAACAGACAGTAAAGTAATATAAATATATAGTTCAATCGATATCTATCAAAAATTTAAAAAGGGGCGCTAGAGAGATGGTTCAGCAGTTAAGAGCACTTGCTGCTCTTCCAGAGGACCCGAGTTCAGTTCCCAGTACCCAGTGTGTGTGTGTGTGTGTGTGTGTGTGTGTGTGTGTGTGTGT